TTTTTTGAGGCAGGATCTCTCTGTGTAGTTCAGGCTGATCTTGAACTCACTTATGTAGCCCAGCTGGCCTCGAACTCGCAAACTAACAGTGATCCTCCTGCCTCAGCCTCCAGAGTGCTGGGATTACAGGTGTGTGCCACCATGCCTAACACTTTGCCCTTATTATTTCTCTTTTAAATTTTGAGAGTCTCACCAGTTGCCTTCAGTTTGAGATCCTCCTGGCTCAGCCTCCCAGAATGCTACAATTACAGGTGTGTAGCACACCTGGCAATAAATTATTAATATCGACTTATTTATTGCATAGTGTCTGGCTCAATTGTGTATTTCCCTGGCACACAGTAGGTGCTCAACAATAATTTAGTGAATGTTGAATGAAGGAAGGACTCACAGAAGCAACTTCAGGGTGCCCAAATCCCCTTTTCTTTTCCAGTTATGTTGCTGATTTGTTTTGTTTTATTGTTGTCATTTTGGTACCAGGGATCGAACTCAGGACCTTGCACTTGGAAAGCAAGCAGCGGCATCACTGAGCTAAATCCCCGGCCTGGCCCTTTCAGTTTTCTTTTTGATCCTCCCCCATTTGCAAGTGAGTTTTAAAGAAGAGGCAACACTGAAGCCTGCTAGGGGTATCTGGGTCACAAAAGGAAGCGACAGCGACTTACATCTAAAGCCAGTCTGGGAATGCGGTCTGGAGCTGGGGCTGGGTTTGTTATTCACAACAGCAGTTCAAACAAAGGAGCCAGTGGGTCGCCCGGGAGCTGAGTGTCCCCCCACACCCCATTTGAAGCCCGGAATGACTGCAGGCAAGCAAGTTCAGATCACCCGGGCGGCCAGGGGTCCCAGCTGCTGATCTTGCTGGACTCTGGGCCCTTCCCTTTGCCGGTTCTCACCAGCTTCTGGAACAAACTGCCTCCCGCTGTCCCTCCGCCGCCTCTGGATCACCCTGATGCCTTCCACCCTCCTCGCTGCAGCCCTGGCCTCAGCAGGACAACTGCAGGGCTTCTGCCGAACAAGCAGGAGGGTCAGCAAAAAAACAAACACCAACACCCGGTAGAGTGTGAGTTTCAGACCGAGAAGGAGAGGGACAGGAGGGTACATCTCGTGTTTGATTTGTCACCCCTAATGCTCTGGTCCCATCAGACCCTCCCTCCGGGCAGGGATTTACCAGGCATCTTTGCTCTCGGAGTCCTGAGCTCCTTAGAAGAGTGTGTTGTCTCTCTGAGCTCTGGATGGGAGAGATGACCCCACCCCACTCCCAGAAAATGGCCTCCCAGCTCTTCGCACACAACAGAGACCACTCAGAGCGACCAGACCATCCTCCTCTTTCCTGCATCCTGTTATTAAAGACAGCTCATTTAGGTAGAAAAACTACAGGCAGTCAGACAGGGCTGGGCCCTCAACAGAGTCAGCACAAAAGATGAAAACACCACAACCGTGGTCAGAGATGCATCTGTTGGAGACCAGGCCTCAAGATACAGGCGAAATGACCAGGCCTGCATTCTTTCTCAAAGGACCAGATAAGTGATAACACCTGGCCTAATGGCGTCTAGATAGACATCAGTCACCCCGGTAGGTGGCCAAGACCTCCGGAACCATCATTTCCTAAAAAAAAAAGTCTTTGTTCTTTCCATGCACACTTGCTACGTGACTTGTTTCCCCATTGGAGCAGTATTACTTCAGTGACTAGATTTGCAACCTTATTGGTTGATCATAGCTGTAACCCACGTTTTACCCATATAGGTTTTGCTCTGTAAAACTTCTGAAGGGTCGGGGGATTTACCTCAGTGATGCCACACATGCCTTGCAAACCCAAGGTATGAGTTCAATCCTCAGTACCA